GGAGCGTACAACGGCCGAAACTTTGTGACAAATATGGCGACAAAGATGAGGACAATAGTCCGACTAATGTAAATACTGTACATAAATAAATATATCAATAAAAATAACACATAGAGGTGCTTATATATATCCACCTCTATATAACCAAAAATATACACATATAAAAATAAGTACATATACATATATTTAGATATACATTCACATAGAAACAAAAAACTACACGATTAATCCCACATAGTGACGATATGTATTGTTCCAAGTTACGTTCATTCATAATTTCAGGATTCCCCAAGTATAAGTCCCCGGAAAATTTAGATTAGATTGTGAGTCGATATTTGTGTCTGCATTTGAGGAGAATCTTATTGCGATGGTTTAGCAAAACACACACACAGAGACACAGATATATACATATATATGTTTGTGTGTGAGCTTGTGTGTGTTTGCATTTCTCTCTCTCTCTCTCTCTCTCTCTCTCTCTCTATATATATATATATATATATATATATATATATATATATATATTTCTTTCTCTCACTCTCTCTACACGACCCAGGCTTAGAACTTAGTGTCTCACCAGCTGAATTTTGGTAAATAAAGAAATAAATATAGAATAAAGAATTATTTACTGAAAAAAAAACACATGCTGAGGCCATCAGGTTGAAAACCCAGTGGTATTAACGGTGTATTTTTCGGTTTTCTATGTTAAAATAAACCGCTGTACACATTTTTTTAGAACTAATTATAGAACATGTTCTTAAAATACCTGTACCCTGGTCTCATCCCGGTCTAGTCATATATATATATATATATGTAAATAGATAGATAGATAGATAGATAATGAGAGAGATATAGATACGTCTGTGTTTGTGCATGCCTATGTTTGTGACAGTATATGTTTGGGTGTGCGCGTGCGTGTATATGTATACATTTGGGTATATGTGAAAACAGAGAAATCTATATGTTGAGAGGAATTTAATGTGATAAAAAATATATTGATCAATTGATCAATACGGACAGCCTGCACTGATGTATCGGGCAGATAGATAGATAGATAGATAGATAGATAGATAGATAGATAGATAGATAGATAGATAGATAAGGGGACAAATAGATCGATTGGTTAATATACAAAATTACAGCGACAGGTAGATCGATTGGTTGATATGCATAATTACACTGACAGATAAGTAGATAGAGTGACAGGTAGATCAATTGATTGATATACATAATTTCAGTGACAGACAGATAGATAGATAGATAGATAGATAGATAGATAGATAGATAGATAGATAGATATACATAATTACTGTGACAGATAGATATACTTAATCACTGTGATGTACATTCAGATGGATAAATAGTTAGTTAGATATAATTACAGAGACAGACAAACAGATAGATAGATAGATAGACAGATAGATAGATATACATCGTTAGAGTGATAGATAGATAGATAGATAGATAGATAGATAGATAATTACAGTGACAGATATATCAATAGATAGATATATTGATAGTTATACGCAATCACAATGATAGACAGACAGATATGTATACATAATTACCTTGACAAATTTAAAGGTATATAAAAATATGTATATAATTATTACCACGATAGATATAGATAATTACAGTGACAGATAGATATACACAATTATAGTGATAGATAGATAGATAGATAGATAGATATACATCGTGTAGATGATAGATAGATTGATAGATAGATAGATAGATAGATATACATCGTAAAGATGATAGATAGATAGATAGATAGATATGTATGCATCATTACCGTGATAGATATCTTGGAAATTTTAATTCATCAGCTATTATCAATATCATAAACACTTTAGAGATAAATTATAATAAACTCGATAACAGTAAAAACACACAATATTTTTCCATACAAACTTCGTAAACTTTTCTTCCATTACCGAAACCTTCTAAGAATGTCAATGAATGATTTGTGTGGTGTGAAGGGTATTTTTCCTTTTACGATTAATTTCATATGTAATAAATATGTTTTCAGTTCTCAGTACTGTATATTCTATCGCGAATGACTTTGAAAACATAGTGTAATCTGCCATCTTTAATATATCAGCAACTTTTGTATATTTTTAAATCTGTACACTCTTAATAATTCGCCTTAAAACAATGATCTCCTTCAGAAAAACGATCTCTGCTTTTAATCAATTGATTCCTTTAATTATATTCTAATCACATATTGTATGAACCATATTTTTTTCTTAAATAAGGAGAGTACACCCAATGTTCAGGACCTGTCTGCTCCTATTAAGAGAAATACACTTTTTTTCTTAATACGGTTTATGATTTGTTTCTGCTTGTAATCTCTATTTACCACCTGCTTAATATTTCTTTTCACACCTGTCTTTCGCTTATTCGATAAAGATATTTTCCATTTTGAGTAAGTGAATATACGAGAGGCCGCGTGAAGATTACAGTATCAATCAGTGGCAGACTTACAAGTAGTTGTTATCATGATATTACTGGATTTTTCTTTGGAGCTGCGATGTCATTGCGGGAAAGACAAGATATCTTTAATGTAATAATGTCTAATTCGTTTTCCCGCCTATCTTTCTGTATTTTTTTGTATACTTCACATATGTCGGTTCAGAGAAAATCATTACGCTTTATCAAGTATTATTCTGGAGTATCAGTGAATAAACGGAATGAGGAATGATCAAATATTTTAGAAGCATCAAAATTACAACTTCAAGAAAAATGTGAACTTTTACCAAACATAATCCTCGACCGGAGTCGAGATTTTGTTAATTGTTTTATCAGTTCTTTCTTTACAAGGACAGCTTCGGCACTCATTGACCCAGCAGCCAGTACTACTTTCGGCTGATGTTTATAAATAATTAATTTCGCATGTTCTTTAACTGTTTACACCATTTCCACTCTTGATAGAGATTTCCATCCCAATCTTTTGTTTGAAGTGGTGTGGAACGTTAATATCTTTATTATGTCATTATTTTCCCTCCGAATTACATGATCTTTCTATTTTAGTTGCTGCTGCTGAAACGTTTTATTTTATTTATTACAGATCTGTTTGTGATTGTGTTGCGCCAGCTCACAATGTTCAGAGAAAGATTGTCTTCGCCAAATCCAAAAAGTTTCATTCGATCAAAACCTTTATAACCTGAGGTTTAGATATTTCTGAAGGCTTCTGCGTCATGAACGGCATTCATGTGAAATACTATATATGACGAGGGCTTTTTAAAGAACATGACTCGAGTCTTCAGATCTCTTTTTTTTTTTTGTAGGATATGTCCTAATAGGCTTCATTATTGGCAGGCAGAATCTTAGCAACATAAGATATGTAGGCAATCTTGAGTGCAAAGTCGAAGAGAAAACTACAAAATCTCTAACAGAAGATAGTGATTGAAAGCGAGAAGAAACAACAAAATAGAAATTGCAAGAAGATACAATGCATTGTTTTGCGCTAAAAGATGAGCCCAAAATGCAAATTACAAAGCTGAGATAATAAACAAGTAAACAATATTTAATAGATGGGAAGTGGACGAAAAATGTAACACTGAAATCAGAAAACCCTCTGAGATAGCATAAGATGCTTCCAAAAGCTAAGCAATGGAAAACTTCGTTATAAATAAAGAAAACAGTGCTGAACTATTACGTGATATCTGTTTTTCTATATGGCCGTGAATGCTGAAAGATCTCTTCAAAATGACGAAAATAAGCACCAGAAATATGATTCTACAGAAGCATGCCGAGGATACCACAGACCGAACATATAATCAACGATGAAATTTTTGAGAAAATCGAAACAAAAAGGAAACTAATGCTTAATATCAGGAAGGAAGGCTTTGGAAATTTGATACTCTCTGAACAGACTGGTGGCAAGAGGTACGGAAGAAAGAAACACGTAACATACTTGATGAACCTTAGTAAATGGATGACGGAAAATGTTTTAGGAAAAATAACGGAAATATAACATTTATTAATAGTTACAAAGGATAGGAAGGTATGGAGAGACATGATCGCATGCGTTCTGAGTGTGTTCAGTACATGAAGAAAGAATTTTCGGTGCTGTTTGACACTACATCTAGTGGCTTGTATTTTATGTTCCATTTTATTTTTCTCCTATATTAAATATATATATATTATATATATATATATATATATATATATATATATATATATATATATATATATATATATATAAACAAATGTTTGGAGGTACAAAATTTATAAATAGTTTTAAAAACTAGAAACCATTGATTTTAATATTAAAAGTCTCTAGAGCCTTTCAGTAACATCTCATCAGGAGACAATCGTTGGATTAGCGAAAATGAATAATAGCGATATTGAAGAGCAAAAAGAGGGGAAACACACTAAAATAACGAACAAGTATATATACTTGTAACGAGGAAGGGTTATCGTGTAAATAAATAGCGAGGGACAGTTAAAATAAAATATCCCCAACAGATTATATACTTGTTCGTTATTTTAGTGTGTTTCCCTTTTTTGCTCTTCAATATCGCTATTATTCATTTCGCTAATCCAACGATTGTCTCCTGATGAGATGTTATAAAGGGCTCTAGAGACTTTTAATATTAAAATATATATATATATATATATATATATATATATATATATATATATATATATATATATATATATATATATTATATATATATTAAATTTGTTATATACGTATTTGAAGTAGTTAACATTTACTAATTACACATTCCTGAATTTTTTTATGATAAATTCTGTGTATGTACAATCACTGCATATATAGTCCGCAAAACCACGCCACAGTTAATTGTGAAACTTGCAATCATTTCCATATCTCTATAATATCCACATCTTCAGAGTTACATAATATTTTTAACTCGGAATACAACTAATCGGAGACTGGTTGTTTAAACTGCTATTTAACCCATAGTTGGTGGGGAGAACAGATGAATTCATATGTTCCAATGATTATTTACGTTATTTCCATTGTTTGGACTGTTTTTTCTCATATTTATTGCTATATTCACAACGTTTCGGTCGTTGTAAACTCCGGGAAACTAGAAAAATCTACACCAGTGGACGAAATACAGGGTTTAGTTCGAAATTCCAATGACCTGAAGAAGGCTGGGCGTATAGCGGCCGAAACGTCGTGAATATGGCAATAAATATTTGTACAGCAGTCCGGAGAATATAAATAATGTCAATAATTACTATACCTCAACTCAGAAATAGAGGCATATATCCCAATGATGTTTTACGAAAGATAATTTAAAAACTCAACCAGACCTAGTTCATCAAATTCTTTTCCCAAGTAGGTAAACATTACAACCAATGTCTTACCTCGTCAGTAATAACACTAACTTAAAGTAAGCAAATTAAGATCAATATAAAATGTGTAGTTAGAAAGATCCTTATTGTTGTTGCTGCTATTTTCGCTTTCATATTTCAGCTCGTAAATTTCCAGGTATACACCTAACTAGAATGTTGTCATCATTTGACAGTTTAAATGACTAAGTCGATTTCTATAGTCGTTATGCTGATGGCTCACTAATTTTTATTGTTATTCCTGTGTAGCCCGTGCATTTAATGCTGTTTTCAACACCCGTTACTACAGTTGATTCCAATTTAAATACATGGATACCTACCATTTCCAAAACTCGTGATAAGAGAAAATCAATGCGCGCTTAAATTTAAGAATAGAGCATTCTGGATGAAAATTTCTATCCCCTTCTGTCATGAATCAGCTCTAAGAATTTGTGGAATGATTACCCGATGAAGGGTATTTTATGATATAAAGATTGTTTTCCAATATCTGAACAATTCAGTAAGAGATTATGAGTCTTCTCAAAATTATAAGCTGTAGTATTCACGTTAAAACTTATTTCTGACAACGTAATGATAGTATTTTCCAGCCTTACATTTCTTTTTCAGTATATATATATATATATATATATATATATATATATATATATATATAATGCATGTTTCATTTAATAATATAGACAAGTTTTGTCCATTTATTTTAAGTAACTTCCTTTTATATTGTCTAAGCTTAATAACATTATCATTGAAAGGAGATCACCATCTTGATATATGTTTAAATCCAATCGAAGCTTTCGGCTTACATAAGCAATTATCAAAGATGACAATTACATTTAAACATATATAACAGTACACAGATGAAAAAATAATGACAGTCTGTTTTTGTTGCATGAAAAATTTCAAAGCAACGACAAACTCGTGTGTACGAGATGCGGAAGCGAAAATCGCGTCTCAGTTCGTGACGTCACACATGACTATGCGAGAGTGAAAACGAGAAATATTAAGTATGGGAAGCCGTTAGTATAAACCAATGGCTTCTGTTATCAATTATAGGCATTTAAGAAATATTGTGGAGATTTCGTAGTTTATTTTGTTCAGGTTAGGTTTCAATTGTTTTATGTATATAGCTTCAAGATTTTTTAGTTTTTGTTTATTGTTTTCATGTTTAAGTATAGTTGTGTTTTCAACAAGGATTTTCCGGAATTATTTACGCGTCCATGTATCAGCATGGTGATTTCCTTTCGTCTTTCAATGATAATGTTATTAAGCTTATCAGACAATATGAAAGGAACTTACTTAAAATAAATAGAGAAAACTTGTCTATATTATTTAATGAAATATGCATTCATGAAAAATTCTTCCCTAAATACACACAATATATATAATTATAAAGAAATATATATATATATATATATATATATAAGCTCTTTTTAGACGTATCATCAGGTAATGATGTGAGGTCTAAAATGTTTCCACTATTCTTTGACGTTGAGACAAAAAATGTGCAATTTTGTAGTGGATATGTGTATGTTGTAATGTAACACGGCATAAGATAAATAAATATTTACAGCTCTACTTTATGTATTGAACACTATTTTAAATTGATGTTTTGAACGCTGTAATCCTACTGTTCGTTCTCCTAAACTTTGATATATATATATATATATATATATATATATATATATATATATATATATATATATATATATATATATTGATCTGTTTTTACGGATTATCAAACATTTTACGGTTAATTGATATCAGCAAATATTTCTTAGATTGTAGGATTTGTAACGATAATAATAACATACAGATACATATGTATGAGAAAAGAGATTGAGTCCTATTTTCCCAAACGTATTTACGTGTAATTTAATATACCAAACCCGATTGGAATTTGAACATGACTCTCTAATTATAAATCCTTAACTGGTATCCATTCCACTAAACATACATCCAAATTTACAGCGCTGTTTATATTCATACGATTACCCATCAACTTAACATCGGTATACGTTTTTCCGTTCAATATAAATTAAATATGATAAAATATAGTTTTAAATGTCTGATATATTTATGGGTTAAAGTGCTCAATATCAGAGATAGAATATACGTATATACAAAAGAGGGTATTGAATGAATACGCAATAAGGCGAGAGCCTGTTTCATGGTAAA